TTACTATATTTTTTTTTCTTCTGTTAATTTTGTGCCACAATATCTCCCGTGGAATTTAAGAATAGTAAAGTATAGTCTATTGATCTGTAGTACACAGTGGAAGGGGTTAAACAGTGTACACCGATGAGTACAGGAACAAGCAGTTAAGTTCCTGTTTTGTTAATTTTATTGCCTTTGTAAATGATGAAAAGCCTTATTGTTAATATTTTTTTTTTTTTTATTTTCACTCTACAGTATTTATTTAATATATTTTAACAATAATTAAACAGAATGTAACAAAAAATCACAATATCTGTTATGTAATTTTAAAAAAACTCAAAAACATTAATTTCAAAACTCATCATACACTATATTAAAATTGTGGATCATCACAAGTTGTCAAATATCATAGATATTTAAAAACCAATATGTACAGTACATGTATATTGTTATAAAAATACATATTACAGGTTTTTCTGTAATAACACAAAAGTTAGTAATTATCTAAAAAAAAAAGTTCTAAATACAGTTAAGTATAGTCTATTGATCTGTAGTACACAGTGGAAGGGGTTAAACAGTGTACACCAATGAGTACAGGAACAAGCAGTTAAGCAACCTGTAATACAATAAAAAGTAAATAAAAATAATTAAATAAAACAAGGAAAAAATAATAACGGAATATTAAAAGGTGTTTTTAAATTTATTTTTTTTTGTCTTCTGTCAACCCTACGCTATAACATCTCCCATGAAATTTTTTGACGTTCCTATGTTTAGCAGTATGAAGTAGTTTTTATCTCTCCTTGCCTTTTGAGCCACAATTGTGTTGTATTCACTTGTTTCATGTTTAAGTGAACGAAATTTATCTAGAAGTATAGAAGTCATATGTATAAAGATTATTCTAAAAAAATATTTTGCCAGCGTTATTTTCCCTCTTTGTTTTTAATGTTTGAAATAGAAGTTACATTTTGTTTGAAAAAAAAATTCTACATTATGCTAGTTTTTACATGTTAATTTTTTATATTACAAAGATGAGATTTTTGTTTGTAATATTATATCATGTTATGTTTTTTTGTAACGTAAAGTTACTTTATGTCAACAGCAAAAATCAAATTGAGAGGAAAATATTCTATTGTCATTGATATTGCATTTTGTTTTGAAATCCCAATGTTTATTTTCATAATAAAATACTTTCATATAAGCAGAAAAGAATATATGCTTGTCAATATTCTGCATTTTTGTTGTTTTCCTCCATGGGCCTATTTAATTTACCTGCTTGTCAAAATTAATTTATATTTTGAAAATGGGTGCATGCAATAATTATTTTTGATTGTACATGTAATATTAATAATTATTATTATGTATTATTAATTATTCTGATTACCCTTTAAAGTGTATACAGTATATCTATTACTGTAATGCATTCAAGACCTGATAATTCATTGCACAATATAGTACGACTCGGCCAAAATAATGTGTGATGTTATCCAAGGCAGAGATGTTATCCAAGGCAGAAAACGATGGCCAGATGCACTCTTATAATAAATATATTACATTCACCGATCCAGGGGGATCAGAGCTGAAAGCAAGCATAAACTAAGTTTCACGTTTTATGCATGATTTTATGTATCTTATTGAAGTTACTATTATTAGCTATATTATTTGATGCGACATGAAACAAAAAGTAAAAAAAAAAAAGGAAATTAAAGTACCAATACTGTAAAGTAGGTAAAGTGAGTGTGTCAGAGCAACATTATTTTCCTAGGGTTTTTGTTTGTTTATGACATACCGTAAATCCTCGAATTGAAGCCTTGACGTCATCTTTGGTGGCTAATCGGTCTATAACAAAACAGGAATCTAACCACACTTTATCTTTATCATGGAATAAACACCCGGCCTGTGGTTCTGTGACAGCTAATTATAATATTAGGTACCGTACCAAACCTTACCTATTGAGACACTTATATTCAACTTGTTTGTACAGTAGTAGTAGTAGGCCTATCATTTGTAGTGTTAACTAACTTTGTCTTACGTATTATCGTAGTAGAGAAAAAATTACAACAAGCAATATAAATCGGTGGTATTTACAAACACCGAACGGTCAAACTCAGGTCATGCTTAATACATCAGTTAGTATTCACAGGGAACAGTGAAGCTGGTATTCATACATCTCACTAAACCAGGGTGACCACTCGCAATTTTTCATATACCCAAGGTCTGCGACGAAATTACCCAAGATTCAACAACAAAAATTGCCCAAAATTAAGTTTCCAGAAAATCCATTAAAAACGGGGTTTTCATATGTATAGTTTCCCTTTTGCTTTTATAAACTCTATTTTATTGTAATTGTCTGTGTTAATAATTAAAATTAATATTCATGAGGAGATAGGAACGATAGATAATTACGCCCCTCAGTCGGCCAGTAGCGTTATCAGTAGATCAGTGACGAAATTTTATTATGTGTGCATTAATTATAGTTAAGATCAATAGCAACGCAAATTACAATAAACAATTCTGAACTCATGTTTTTAGCAATTAAAAGTCAATTAACAATATTATGTGCACTTCGTTGACTTCTGTTTACTTAAATTGACTGAAATATACATTGCTACTTCTTTATTCTTCTTCTATGACAAAAAAAAAATATTTTTTAAAAATAAAATACCCAAGGATCTGAACAGATTGAATACCCAAGAACCCAAGACCTTAAATAGCGCCCTCTATAATTCTGCCCTAAACCAGAGTATGTGGAAAAAATAATGCAGCAGATCTGCTTGGATCTGCCTTTGTGATCAGCGATGTACTGACTGTATGCAGCTTTAGGCCTAGGCGGAGAAAAATAAATCCACTGCAAATCAAATTAAGTAGCAAATTTACATTATTATTTAACATTATCACGCATAATTATTAAATATTGGATTTTCGTTGTTCTCTGCATATTTTCCATGTAAAACGATGCCTCGCATAAATGTTGTTATGCCTCTCACTTTTGGGAATGGTAAAACGATGCCTCGCATGAATCGTTGTTTTGCCTCGCTGCCTTGCATGCCTCGCACTTTAATACTACTCCTGTGTAGGCATAGCCTAGCATAGTGCAGTACTGTATATAGAGAATACGGAATACTACTCTACTGCCTGGCGTGACCTAGGCCCCTAGTTAAGTCATACAAACTATAATAATTATTTCAAACATTAGACAAACATTAAACAACACTATTTTAAATAAAGTACAGTAATTTATAGTTCCATGGAACTATAAAGGGGAAGACAGCCTAGGCCTGGCTAGATATGTAAATGTAGTACTGTACATAGGCCAAGGCCATGGCCCAACTACTACTAATACTAAAATGCCAGTTTATTCGTCGTGAAATGTGGATGATTATACCTCAGAAACTAGCTCAAATTTGCGTGGAAAATGGCTAGGAAAAATGTGCACAGAACTTGATTTCTGCGTGACACATTGGTTATATATTCAGATTAGCTCAAAGACTAACATTCGGCGAATTCTGCTCGGAAATCGGTCCTTATTTTCCGAAAACGGCGGGCAGATTTTTTAGGCCTAATTCTTGCGTGGAGGATACACTCCCTGCACACAGTCTGAGTTACAACTACCTGGCCTAGGCGTGGCCCTGCTAGTTTAATGCTGGATCAAAAACTAGTAGAGGGTCAAATGGCCAGCCATTTTGATGGTCAAAATACGGCAGCGTTATTAATATTACTGTACATTATTAGAAAATATTGAGAAACAAGATAGCCTATTATACATATGTGCTGTTTAAATTTGTCTTTATCTGTAATTTTTATTCTTATATTACAAAAAAGTATTATATTAATGAAATAATTAATTATATTCCAATAATTGTTTAGGTCGTGGCTGTTGCTACAGAACTTTGCAATGCATTTGATTATGGGGTTTTCACAGTGATGGTTAATTGAAATATATATATTTTCAACAAAAATTATCATTGATTTGTGCCAGAATGATTAATTCCTTATAAAGATATTGTAATATCAGTATATTAATTATATATTATAATATATTATATTATATAATTATTTTTGAATGGTTTAAGAAAAGTCACTCTGAATTTTTTAACTGGTCTGTTTTTTATTGTACTTCTCTTCTTACAGGAAATGTCGACATGTTGGATATCGAAGGCTTCATTTGGTAGGTGTAGGCTAAAGAAATCTGACAGAAGGGTCATCCCATCTTGCACTGTGTGGGCAATTAGGGACAAGTTACCAGAAGCTGCGAAGACTACCCTGGGTTTTTTTATGCTATAGATGATAATGACTTTGTGTTGGAAGAATTATTTATAAATTGTTATGGAAGATACCTGATAAGTCCATCCTAATTAATGCAACATATCTTTTTTAAAGGATTCATTCTTGAAAATTCATGTGACATCTGTTATCTGTTTTTTTTTACAATCTCATCACACATGGTAAGAAAGGAGATTTTGTCAGCATAGGCTTAGAGTTTTTGCATATCTGCACCAGTCAGTTGTGTGTAACCTTCCAGGCCTAGTCTGTAATTGAAATTGTTGCTATTGATGCAGATAGGCCAGCAAAATTGATTTCAAGAACATTTTGTTAAGTACAGTATGTTCCAAATGCAATGTTTTTTGTCTTTCCCACTCATCTCATATTTTAAAATTTGAAGCTGTACAATATAAATTGGAATTGACTGCTTCAATGTTGCTTTAATCTGTGTACAGTAAAACAATGTTATATTACTATGAGAAAATACACTTGTAATAATAATAATAATAATAATATACTTTATTTAAACACGGAGACATTTGAATCACCCATGGGTGTTTTTCATCCAGGCCGTGCAAGGCCATACATAATTAGAAAAGAAAAAATTATTGAAAACAAAGTGAATTAAAGAAAACAACAAAAACAATAAATTATTTGCCATGTACAAGAATTGTGTTTCAAAATATTTATTTAGTAACACCAGTTGTCTTGAATTTACTGTATGTGCAACAGTAATCAATAACCAAGTGAAGCACCAAAAACATAGATGTTCAATATCATCATGAAAGAAGAAATCTTGGCAATGGTAAATAAAACAAGAAAACAGACATGATAAATAAAGCAGTGCAGTTAAACTTGCCGAAGACGACTTTGCCATACTCTAATAATTTCTAAGTTGATCTAATTTTACATGCCAAATTGTTGTGTTTTCCATTACCGTTTTAAGTATAAGTCAAATTTTGTTAAGATCAAATAATTCCTCAATGGCATTTTGGGTACGACATAGGCAAGTTCAACTATATATTTCAAAATACTAAACAAAAAATGGTGTAACAAAATTGAAGCTTTCTTATAAATTGCAATACCGAATTGATCAGCATGCAGAAATAGGCATAATCCAGGCATTACAAAATAGATTCATAGAATAACTTTTAACGCTGTACAAAGCCATACATTAAAATAGTTGTTCCTGTATATATTCAGCCACATTTTTATACTGTATTATCAACTTCGCACATTATATATTTCACAATTATTCCTCACAAGTTGTTTTATAATTCTGGGTCACATTGCTTCAAAAGGATTACTAGATTGAATGGGATTACTCTGTTTTAAAAGAAGAAAGTACAGTACTTATAATAGTATTTACTAATATTAAAGATATTTTGCAAGTAACAAAACTTCTAACCAGAACCCCGCAGGTGTGTACGTTCCTTTGTACGTAAAACTAGTTTAGAGGGATTTGTAGTCCAGTAAAGATTTCTAATGTTTTTACGTACACCTACACCCCCATACAGGTCCATCCATCAAATGCTGTATATTTACATACCTGCCAGTCGAATATCAAAAATAAGGATGCTATTCATTGGTGACAAAAAATTAAGATGGCAATTATATATCCTAATTCCTGTACAGTTGCTTCAAACAAAACAAGAGTTACTTAATTTCAAGTGTACTGTTTATTTACCTCACAACCAAGAAAAAATATTTAAGTTACATTTTAATTAGTAGGGCACGGTATATTGCTTGTTTTGCTGGATCTCATTGGAGTCATAACGTCAATATTTGTTCGAATGACACTTATAATCTCTGTTCAACATTTCCAGCTTGTGTGTCATTAAAGCACTTTAAGTTTTTGTTGTCATGCTAGCTCGAAGCTTGGTTTTGTTTTTTCAACAAATAGAGAAAACTCTCTCAGTCACTACTGCTATAAAATATTATCATAGTTCCCCGGGTAGAATCCCACACCGATTTTACGCCCAACTTCATGTACACGAATTTCCCCGGGTGAAGTCCCAAGGTCTGAGGATTGGTAAGTCGGCCTAGGTCGATAAATTTAACAAATGCTCAAAAAATAAAGGAATTGTCTCCGAATTCTGCCAACTTGAAACTCTTAAAATTGCTTAAAACTGACATTGGTCGCCATGAATTAAAACACAAAGGTTAAGCCCATTCTTGTAAATTACTTTGTTGTTTACTGTTGCTAAAAATAAGCAGCTCGCTAAACTGCGGCTAAAGTAAAGATAGACAACACCGCGGTCCATCCCTGAAAAGACCTGCCCAGTGGGCTGATCGGATCGTTAATTCACAGCGTGAAGACTCACGTGTTTCCACAGAGATTCGCTGCTAAATATAACTCGTTACATCATGCAGGACTGATTTCTTCGCCCGAAAATTGTTTTGATAGGCTATTGAATCGAAGGTGAAAACCACCTTGCAAAACGATCGTCATTTCCGTCTGTTCATATACTAGGCCTAGGAAATCCCGGGGTATAATTCCACCCCCCCCCCCGAAATCGGAACAGTTTCACGTTTATGGGGATGGGATAATACCCGGGGAACCACAGACTAATATTCCCTTCATCACACTGGCAAGTAGTGGATACTTCTTGCAATTAATTTTTTTTTTTATTCTAAAAATAGGGACGTCCCTATTTTTTGGTGTTTTTGATATCGGAAATCAGGACGTCATTTTCGGGTATCCAAAGCTCTCATGTCCTAAAAAGCTCCCACCTTAACCCAAACCATTGTAGGGCTGGGGTGGTGTTGGGTTACGCCACAAAATGTCCATTTTTATTTGTTCACAATTTGGCAGATTTGCCACTGTTTTGAACTTGACTGGTCAAACCACAGAACCAAAGTTGGTGGTTTTAGAAGTCAAACTTATCCATTTATCATCTACTAAAATAGTCTTCATTGTTTGACATACCTCCATGGTTTGACAATAACAAGTTTTCTTTCGTTCTTCAAAATCTGCTTAGTGACACGCAATTAACTACAACCGCAGCTGCTCTGCATACTGCATGTCACGCATGCGCTGTATGGTGGTAGATAAAACGTGCCTCGGTCAATGATTTATTTTCGAGTTGTTGGTTAACTACACCAACAAGGTATGCATTATGGAGCTCGCTTACCCTCTCGCGATGAAAAACATTACCCTCTCGCGATGAAAAACAAAATGTCGGCAAAGTTTTTCCGACGCATGCGCATATCGAAATTTTCTCCAGATGAGTAAAAAACAAAAACTAAGTGTGTGGCATTTCAGTAATGTATCTTCAGAAAAATATCACTAGATAAATAATTTTAATTCAATTCTGTTGAAATATTTCGGCCTCAATAACTTGCTGCAGAGCATCGCCACCTTCTGCTACCATGGCTTGGACATTTCATCATGTCTACATAGATGGAATTGTTTGCATCAAATCCATTCGAGCCTGTTATTCGCTCCTATTAAGGAATAAAATATAGTTACAATAATGCAAAACCAGGCTTGTTAAAAATCAATAATAATAATCTCCATTATCAATCACATACCATACTGAGATACTGTATGTACTCATGTAAAAAGACATTCATCAATTGACAGTATTTTCAGTTAAACAGAACTATTTTTTTAATTACTTGAAGCCTTCCTGTCTGCTAGTTTGTGATGTATTATTGTTGGTTCTTAATAAAACTACAATGCTGATATTTTTTCAACATGCCAATATATTTGCTTCATGTACTCTGGCTGAACAGTGATGAGATATTAACTTTATTTTTTATTGCTCACCTTAAATTGTGTGCTTCCATTACAACCAGAGTGTTTCTTGCCAAGGTCTTGCTGGGTGCTTGTATGCTTTTGTACCACCTCCTTTCGTAGATGCCAATGTTGGGTCGTTGTACTCACGGCAAATGTGGTATTTTTGTGTCATCATGGCGATTCACAAATACCTGTGACCAGAGTGTCATGTTTAGGCCTATCACCTATTTTGTCGTACAAAAAACATATGTAAATTTTATTCGAATTCCACATTTCCAACAGCTGAAAGTTAAAAAAGATCAAAGTTTTCGATGAAGTTACTAGTTAGGTTTGGAGTAACATCATGTTATTATTTAATGGGGCGTTTTTGCTGTGTAGCCTAGGCTTCTAGGCCTATATTAACAATAATCTTATTCTTACAGGAATTGGTGTTGGCTCTGATGCATGATGTACTGTAGTGTTATAGCACATCACCATTCAGACAGACAGTGCAGTTTTTAGACATTTAGGCCTTGGCCTAGACAGTTTTTCATAGGACCAGGCATAGCCTAGGCCTATAGTATTATTATAGGTCTAGGGGCCTAGGCTTATGAAAAAAAAAATGCACTGGCAAAACGATATTTTCTAGTAGGCCTTTGCCCAGCCTTTTTAGGACCTAAGTCCGGCCTAGGCTTGTCCGGCCATGGTCAGACTAGCTAGGCCTTAACTTAAGGACACGCACAGGCTAGGATAGTAGTAGAAACCTACTAACTTCACCGTCAGCTGGATAATAATAGACTGCGTGCGAACTCACCATGCTGCGGACTGGAGTGGTGTCCTGGACTGGAGTGCTGCTACTGCTGCTGGGTAGACACTGACTGTTCATCCTAGGCATAGGTGTAGGTCCTCCTAGGCCTAATTATAAACAAGTCATCGGACTGATATACGTTTATTAATTCAATTGAATTATTCCTCCATGATTGAATTGATGTCGACTACACCCTCTCTCTGATACTGCGTACGTAAACGATCACAAAAACTCACGATTTCACATTATGGTCTAATACCCCTTTTACACTCTGCCAAAGGCAGAATCGACCGGGTTACTTCCAGAGTAATCCCGGGTGCATTTTCCATTTACATCGAACACAAAAGTCAGGGTTGATTCCGAGTTGCTCCCATTTTACACTGGCAACGAACTTTGCGATGGTGATCATCACTTCGCTCAAGTTCCTAGTCATCACAAAGCCACAATTAAACCCTTTTTACACTGCCAAAGGCAGAATCGACCTGGGTTTTTTCCGGAGTAATACCAAGTGCATTTCCCATTTACGTCGAACGAAAAAGTCCTGGTTGATCCTGAGTTGCTGCCATTTTACACTGGCAACGAACTCGGGTTCAAATACCGCCCTCAGTTTTTGTTGCGATGGTGATCATCACTTCGCTCGAGTTCCTCGTCCTCCCGAAGCCGATTGCAGATTGTTTTTAAATTATGCGAACTAAATCAGCAGTTTTGATATCAAGTCTATACCGAAGGGTTTAATTTGACAAGTGTCTAGGCCTAGCCCATTGTAGGCAATGTTTAGGCCTACCTGACCACAGCTGCGGTAGACGCCAGGTAAGGCCTAATTCCGGAATAAAATTTGGTGCTATTTGCACCTGGGTTGTTCTACGCTGAATGTGTCCCGCACATCCCTCCCAGAATGTTTGGCAACCCGAGTAGGACTTTTTGACGTGGTTTACACTAACCACAACTCGGGAGATTTTAACCCGGGTATTGAAAAATCCCAGGTTACGTCCGGAATTTTGCTTGCAGTGTAAAAGGGGTATAGAATAGTCGGGGCGATTCCTCGATCAGCAGGGCTCGCCTTGCTACCAAGCTACTGAAAAAAGTGATTTTAATGTCTCATCATATCATGTTTTGTTTCTGTAATTATTGTTACATCTCAACATTTTGTATTTTTAAAGTATTTTTCCCGAACTCAAGAAAGGTTAAATAAGCAATATATGGCCACTTGTCTCATCCCCGCACCACCACCCCCCACCCCTTTATTATTCTAATAACTTATATAAAACTATGTCCACTTTTTTACTTACTCCATTCCTAACATTGGTTTCCCATCGCAGGTTCATTGCACGTAAATCGAACATCTTAATGTCACCATTATCGTAACCAGCTGCAACACATCGGTCCGACTGGTTGTGGGCATGGCCTATAAAGAAAGAGCAACTTGAATATATATATAAGATGTGTATAAGAGACAGCTGTAGAACACTTCATTTATTTTCGGGGGTTCCAGATGGAAAACCTTTTTAAAATAAAATATGTCTATACAGGATATTGTATTGTTGCCATTTTGCACAAGAAATCATTACATTTCCAGAGAAGATATTTCTCCTACAAGCTCTAAGGTTTGGCAATTCACGCAGAAATACAGATTATTTCAAGGTTTCTTTATTGCAGTCTCTCCAGACTTCCATATCACTGATAAATAGAATGTAAACTGATCACTGTGAGTATGACAGATTATTATGGCCTGTAATTAAATAAGTATGTCTAAAACAATAAATGAAAATATAAAAATGAGATGGAAGGAATTGTATTGGAAGCAAAGCTTTTTACACGTAAACGCTATTAAATAATAAGATGATCAATTTTTTTTTTTTTTAAACTTAATCGTCGGACACCATCCCAGTATTTCTGAGTCGAGGTTTCAATGCCTGAATAAAGATTGCTAGAACAAGTGAAATGTTTTACTGGAATTAATTTAATCTTCTAGTCATCTAAAGGTAAAACTATCCCCCACGATGCCCCGGACACCATCCCATATTTCTAAGTCTAGGTTTCGGGGCCGGGAGATTATTATTTATGTGGTGAATCAAAGCATGATATATAGCTTTTGATACTTAGCTACAGTAGAAAAGGGACTGCTTTTGTCCCCAGGAAAATGGCATGCATGACTAACCAAGGGTACAGCAAACTATAATTAAGACAGCTTAGGGTGGGTCTACTGTACTACATTTAGATGAGGTTGACTGGTTTGTTTGTTGCAAGTCAGGTCATTTAATTTTGTAAAAAAAAAAAGTTGCATCGGTAAAATTTGGTTCACAAATGATATTGAGTTGTAAATTATGCCGGACCACTTCCGACGTCCTTGTACAAGATATATATATATTGCTGCTATGGAGGTGAAAATGTATATATCAGTAAGATGACACATCAAATTTATCAGTTACAGCAGTTAATTGAAGCATTGTGAAAGTCATGTAGCTGTTAAATGAGTGCTACAATGGTGCTATCCCAGCGGATCACCTCTTGTTATTGTCAGTGATCATCATCTTTTTGGTGATCCGCTTCTCGAGCGGATCACCTCTTGTTATTGTCAGGATCATCATCATCTTTTTTTTTCTTATCCTTCTTTCTTTCTCCCCTTTTTTGTTCACAAGATATCTCGATAAATGCCACGACTTACGCTCAGTCGCATTTCACGAACATTTGGATTGGTCTGGAATAGTCACAATAAGCTTTTCAATGCGCTCAGTCATGCGTGACGTCATCTACGCGCAATTTTGCGTTTTTACATTATCGATCATATCAGCATAACCAATTGCCATTTTGAAATCGTAGTGAGTATAAACTTCAGGTCAATGTTGAATGTAATGTACCGTAGTCGCGCGAATAAGCGCTTGGGCGCTTAAAATATTTTTTGCACTTTCTGAGAGGCGCTTATTCAAACGGGGCGCTTATGAAAACAGAGTGGAAATTGAGGGGGCGCTTATGGAAATAGATGAAAATCGAGGGGTCCTTATGGAAAATTTTTAAATTCAAGAGTCACTTTTTGAATGAAAAAAGATTATATAAGGACATCACAAATGGTGGTTAGAAAAGATAATCTTCCAGAGAAAATGGCTCATTACAAGAATGCGTGAATATTTACATAACAGCAAAATAGCAGATGCTAGTGGTTAGCTTGTTGGTCATCGGCCGATTGAGATTAGCAGGATGGCAGGATCATTATATTTTTCTTGAAAACTAGATGAGAATGTGCTAAAGGTTGGAAAAAGAAAAAGGAGTAGGACTAGGCATAGACAAATATGTGAAAAGAGTAAAGTTGGAAATATACTGTCTGTCCAGGGATCGGAGCTCTCATCTGTCCAAGAGAAAGATCCTCATTTTGATATTGACTGAAGAAGAATGTTTTTCCACTCTACAGCTCAAATCATGCCAACAACCACAGTCCCAGGATTGATTGGATTATTCACTTGCTAAAAAGTAACAGGCGCGCGTGGGGGGGGGGACTCCCCTCACCTGGCGGTTTTTACCAGGCTGACCAAGCCATACCGGGCTGGGTAATAAGAGAAAAGAAAGAGGGGAGAGGGAGGGAAAGAGAAAGAAGAGGAAAAGAAAAGGAAAGAAAAAGAGAAGAGAAAATTAAAGACAAGAATAAAAAGGAAGATATCATAATGACCAGACTCACAACACCCTGCAACCCCTTCTCCACTTTAAAAACTGTCATAACTCTTTTGATCTATGCTGCCCGATGGCGTAACCACTGGGGGACAAGGGGAAAATATCTACAGTATTTTTGGAAAATCTTCCCCACTTCTTTATAAATGCCCTTTTCATTGCCTGAAAGTGCCTAAAAACCTCAAATTTCCCCACATTTCTTTTTGTCATGGGCCAATTTCCTCTACAAAAAGCACATTTTAGGGAGTTTTGACCAACTCCAACAAAATTAGAATTAAAAACACCGGGGGACAAGGGGAAAATATCCATCTTTGGAAAATCTTTCCCCACCCCTTGACAAATGCATCCTCTGAAAGTGCCTAAAATTCTCAAATTCTTTGTGTGCATTTCTTGTTACGGTAGGCCAATTTCCTCTATAAATTGCACATTTTATTGAGTTTTCATCAATTCCGACGAAATTAGAATTAAAAACACAAAAATATTATGTGCGTTTCGGGCGCATTTTTTAGGGCTTTTTTTAGGTTTATTCTTTTTAGTTATTTAAACACATAATAATCCCAAACTCAAGAAAGACAAATATAAGATAGATCGTTTTAACCAAAAAGAAGGGCCTCAATGTGTATTGATGGTGAAAGAATATGTTTGTAATAAATAAAACCATGATGAAAATGCTTATATTTAGTTTCAAACACACGTGTGTGGCCTATATTATAAATAAGATAAGCTCTATGTCGTACTGTTTTCTATATGGGGAGTGGGTAAATTAGTAACCAGGAAAATAAATACCCACTCTGACCAAAGACCCCTGATACGCGCCTGGTGTTAGCGCCAATGTGTGCCCTTGTGCGGACAGGGGATGTGCCCCCCTCTGAAGCTGGAAACCTTGTTTTTGCAAAATAAATTGATGCAATTTGCTATTATAGGCCAAATCAATAAATTCCTCATCAACCGATATAACCTTAAACATTCTTGGAATTGACATAATATTACTGATTTCATACACACCCTTCAGTGTGAAATGTGGCTCTCTTTGCAAGCACATCTAACATCTAAGGAAAGAAGAGCTTAGATTAGTACCAGATAAAATAATTTTGTTATCAACATTAATACATTATGCTAATTTTCATCTTTGTAAGCGCATAAGACAGTGCAAGTTATTTCTGTGACAGTTTTTGAAGTGGGTAAAGCTCCATTTTATCCCATACAGTCAAAATATTGGGGGGATGATACAATGGACCATCTCCCCCCCCCCTTGTCAAATATTGGGGGGGGATATATCTCCCATTCCCTCGGGGACCTACGCCTATGTAAGTGCGCATCAAACATAGGGATCTTTGCACGGATTTGTGCTGATATACAGCGAAAATATGCTAAAATCAGGCCTATTTTTAATCAGTTATAGCTCCTTAAGATGAAAGGTGACCCCAAATTTTTTACGGTTTATAGACTAAATGAACATTTATCTTGTAATAGTCTTCTTCCTCTTTGTCAATCTGCTTATCGTAAATCTCATAGTGTTGAAACAGCTTTATTGGTCATTACATTTAAAATACAAACAAAAATAATACAAAACGATCGGTGAGAAGAGAAATACATAGCTAACTAGATTACTAGAACAACAAAAATAATAATAAAAATCAATAGTAACAACAAAAATAATGAAATCAATATAATAAACAAGGAGTAACCATGAAATATGAAATCAAAGGGGATTTTGGGATACCATTTCGGCATTTACCATCAGTTTTATTGGTTTTGGTGTTAACATTACAAACTACAAATTAATAATTAGTTGAGAAAAAAATTAAAAATAAATAAAAAAATAAGGTAAATAAAGTAGGAACATACATGTGTGTTTCAAAGGAAACATGTTGTTTGATCCATTATAGAGGGGGGTACATGGTTACTTCATTGTATTGTATACATATTTTTTCTAAGTGTCCAAGCGGCAGTGAGGTATTTTTTACAGTAATGATCAAAAATTTTGTCTAAATAATCAATATTAATCTCTGTTAAACTGTCTAAAAACAAATGATGTTTATATTCCATAGAGCCTTTTTCAAAGTCTTCCCAAATATGTTGGAGATCCCAGTAAATCAAATCATTTTTTAATTCTTCAAATAGGTTATCTCTGATTGTTTGAAGTCCATTACATTCGAATATAAAGTGGTCAACTGTTTCTATTTTATTGTCATTGCATATTTTGCATATGCCAGTATTTTCATGTGACCATGATTGTTTTCTACCTTCCAGTTCCAATGAATTAGACCGTGCATTCAATTTTAGATTTACACCAGTAAAATTAGTTTGATCAAGTAAATAATGTTCGAAGTCCGGTACTCCTTTGTATTTTATATATCCTTTAAGGGATATGACTTTGATTTTGCCCTTTCATACCATTCTTTAGCGTCATTGTTTTTGTTCTTAATTTTAAATAGCCTTAACCAGTTACGATTCTCAGGTTCTGTACTATAAACATCCAATAGATTATATTTTTGTAATATACTTTTGATCGTATATGGCCATTTCCATTTCATAGTATCTTGTACTTGTAAGATGGCTTTCAACAATAGTTTCGGCCATCTATCCTCATTCATGCATTTTAATCTATTAAAATACAATAACCTAAAGTTGTTCTGAATGGACTGAATAGATTGCCAACCTAGGTTGCCATATAAGGCTTCTTTTACCACATTTCGGGGGCTTTTAAGAAGTATTCTGGCCATCTGATATTGTAAATTTTCT